AGGGATCCACCTCGGGGAAGGGGGCCAAGAGAAGGACCCCAACCCAAAGGAGGGGGGCGAGAGGGACCACGACTCAAGGGAGAGGAAGCAAGATAGGGACACCCTAATCAGGGAGAGGGGAGCAAGGGAGGGACCTCAAGGGAGGGGGCGGGAGAGACCCCAACCCAAAGGGGTGGGAGCAAGAGAGGGACCCTGCCTCCGGGAAGGGGGGCAACAGAAAGACCCCAACCCAAGGGAGGGGGGCGAGAGGGACCCCACCCCCAGAGGAGGGCTGATGGGGGACGGAGGGACATCCTAGGGGACAAGAGAGGGACCCCCGGGGAGGGGGCTGGGCCGGGGCGGCGGCCCCTCCCCGCGCTGCTCCCCCTCCCCTGCCTCTCCCTCCCCCGCCCTCCCTGCCCCGGTCGGGCCTCGGGTCCCGCCGCCGCCCCCGCCGCGGGGTTCGGTTACCAGAGGTTCTGCCCGTCGTCGTCCTCGGCCTTGTCGCCGCCGCCCGTGCAGGCGGCCGGGGCAAAGCCGTTGGCGGCGGCCAGCACCGGCGGCGAGGAGCTGAAGGAGCCGGCTCGCCCCACGGCCGCCATCTTGGTCGGGACTCTCGGCTCCCGCGAAGCTGAATGAGCGAGGCCCGAGCGGCGGCGGCAGCGGCGGCGGGACCCGGATGTGAGGCGAGCGCCCGGCGCCTGGCGAGCGGGAGGGGCGGGGCCTGCGTCGAGGGCGGAGACACGGCAGGGGGCGGGGCAGCCCCGGGCGCGGTCCTGTGACGTCACGTCGTGGGCGGGCTCGCCGGCCTGGCCCCTCCCCCTGCCCCGCCCGCCTCCTGCCTCGGAGGCTGCTGCGGAGATGGGGAAGCTACGTGGGTGCGGTGCGGGCTGCAGCGGCCGCTCGGCCCCCGCCCCTCTCCGTCCTCGGGCAACCGCTGCGCCTCCTGGGCCTCCGAGGCCTCCGCTTCCTCCCCGGGAAATGAGAGAGGGAGTCTATTGGACACGATGACCTCCGGATCCGGGGGACTGCGGTCACACCTGTGGCCAGCAAGGGACCCCGGACTGTCCGAGCTGCGAAGAGCCGGCCCTTAGGGGTCAACCACTCCAACCTCGCCCCCACACGCACGTTTTACAAAAGGGGAAACTGAGGCTCAGAAAGGAAGGAGCTTAGGACCCTGGAGCTGCGAAGGGCCAGCCCTTACTGGTCCACGACTCCAACAGCCTCGTTTTACAGATGGGGAAACTGATGCACGGGATGAAGGGGAAGATTACAGAGTGTCAGAGCTGGAAGGAACCTTGATGGGCCTCAGTTTCCTCATCTGTAAAACGCAGCGGTTGCATTAGATGGCCTCTGAGCCATCTGTGAACTTACTAATAGAGTCCACCCACCTCATTTTTACAGACCCAGGGAGGTGAAAGGGCGTAGAATCATAGGTTTTCAGAGGTGGCAGGTACCGTTGAGATCATGACTCCAACCCCTCATTTTATAGGTGAGGAAATAGGCCCAGAGAGTGGGAGGGCCATGCTCTAAGTCACCTTGCAAGTTAGTGGCAGAGTTCAGATTCAACCCAGGTCCTCTGACTCACTGAATTCTGTTGGAGTTCAGAACCCACAGATGTCCATGCCAACTGCCAGCTGGTGTTCATGCACACCCTGAGTCTTCAGTTTCTAGCCTCCATTCCCATTCACCTGGGAAGGGGAGGCACACATTGATCATTGCTGTTGTTCAGTCCTCTCCAATTCTTTGTGACTCCATTTGGTATTTTGTTGGCAAAGATCCTGAAGTGGTTTGCCATTTCCTTCTCCGGCTCATTTTACAGATGAGGAAACTGAGGCAAGGTGAAGTGACTTGCTCAGGCTCACACAGCCAGTAAGTGTCTGAGGCTGGATTTGAACTCAGGTCTTCCTAACTCCAGGCCTGGTGTCCATTGTGCCACCTAGCTACCCAGCAGGATTATTACCAACTCCTTTTTCTTACCAGTAGCAGATTTCACAGGCCCAGAGAAAAAATAGAAAGAAAAGAAACAAAACACACCCTTCTCCCCACAAACTGGATTGGTTTGGATTTTCCTGATATTCATTTAGAAGAGGATACCATATGGCACAACCTGTTTCCAGCCTTTTAAAATAACCTTTTAGCTGCTCTCAAAAACAAGCTTAAGAATAATGCCTAGTAGGGGCAGCTAGGATAGAGCACCAGCCCTGGCGTCAGGAGGACCTGAGTTCAAATCTGGCCTCAGACACTTGACACTAGCTGTGTGACCCTAGGCAAGTCACTTAACCCCAATAGCCTCACTAAAAATAATAATAATAATAATAATAATGCCTAGTTTTCCCATAAGCTTTCCCCTAAGAAAAATCTGGTTATTAGAAATCCAGCCTGGGGTAAAACTATACCGCATTGCTATTCTCTGTTTTCACTTCACCTTTCCTTCTTTAAAAAATATACAAACAAATAAACAGATAAGTAAATGCATGGGTTGACTTGAATATTTTCCCCACCTTCTTGTCTTGGGCAAAAGCAGAAAACCAGAAGAGAGAAACTAGCTCTAATTTTAAATTTCTAGTTCATTTTAAAATTGCTTTTAAATTGACAATTCAGGGTTATCAGTTTGAATAGAGAGTATTGTCCTGGGTTAGATTATGATGATGTCCTCAGGGACTATTCCTATGTAAAGCACCTGCATTAAATGGAGCTCAGACTACTGCTTTTCCTACCTCCTCTCTCCGATCAGGCTGTCAGCAGTCATTTCTTAATATTGTCATGAATGTCTACCTCTAGTGGCCCTCAGTCGCCTTCCTTGACTTGCTGCTTCTAATCATTTCTAGGCTTGAGAGCAAGAGAAAAAGGTTTCACTGGTTCATTCAATAATCATTCATTAAATGCCTCTAATGTATAAAAAAATGGCAGCATTCCATAGTGAACAGAGCCATGGTCTTGGCATCAGAAAGACATGAATTCAAACACCACCTCTGACACTGTGTGAACCTGGGGGGAGGGTCATTTTTCCCCTCTGAGACTCAGTTTCCTTATCTATAAAATGGGAATAATTGTTCTTGTGGTACCATCTCACAGACTAGTTACAAAGATCAAAAGAGCTAATAATAGCTAGAAAAGGTTCTATGTTAATGTCTATTATCATTACAAGGAGACTAACGAATGATCCAAAGGGAATACAGTTGTTGTAAGTTGTTACAGTTATTGTTTGGTTAACATTTGTCTTGTATCAAAATGCAGATAGCTAAGAGTTTAACTTTCTCTTTGGTGCTTTATTCATAGTGTTCACTTACTGCATTGGATTCATGTACGTGATTAAGTTCATAAGAAGACATAATTTGTCAGCTCAAGGCTACTTTCCTCTCCTCCCACTTCCTGGTTTGGTGCTGTGTGGTGGCTAGTTGAGATTGCCAAATGAGTGACTCTCTTTACTATGACTCTTCTGGTTATCACCTTCCTTCCTATGCTATCTGAAGTCCCTGCTAGTGCAACATTCTAACTGGGGCAAATGCTGTCTGGAAAGTCAAAGTGAATGATGATCTGGTAATAAAAAAAAAAAAAAGCTTGAACTCAGAAGACCTGGGTTCAAATTCTACCTCTGCCACTTACTGCCTCAGTTTCCCCAAGTATAAAATTTGGGGGTTGGACTACATAATCTCTAACGTGCCTTCCATCCCTAAGTCTCTGATGCTATGCTGTGATTTCTGTTCTCCCTGGGACATGCAGGCAAATTGTCCTTTAAAGGATCCCTTTTTTGTCCAAGAGAAGAATTGGGGAAAGAGCACTATGAAGGACTGTCTTTGGGCCACTAAAGGAAGCCTTCTTGTGAGACATTGTATCCCTCCTACTTTTGTGTCTCAGCCGCCTCCCAGGGTCTAAAGAGAAGTAGCCTGTCTAGGGACTGCTTCCTCTTATGACCACACTCTCTGTCAGCCCTAAGCACTAGCAGCTTTTCAAAGCCACTTTTCTGGGCTGCTTCAGATTTGGTGGAAAGTTGGTAAGCACAGTACCCAAGGCTGCTGCTCTCTGACTCACCACAAGAGAAATTATACAAAGAGAATAACAATGGGGAAACCAGTAGGAATCCATGAACAAGTCATTTATCTGTTTGTCTGGGCTTGTGGGTTCCATTGTGAGGGGGAAGATCTCTCCATTCATTCTCCCCAGTAGATGAACAACCTGTTTTAAAACCTTAACAGAGTTATTAAGGGCATTTAGAAGGGATGTGAATTGTTCACAATCATTAAGTGCCAGCCCTGTACACTTTATGGCAACACATGGCTGTAACTTTTGTAATGTTGCCAGCTATAGGAACCAAATGCCTATGAAACAGGAACTTTTTCTTTCAGATTCTCATTTCACCTCATGTTCTGTGCTTTGAAGCTTATAGCTGTATCAAAGTCTTTTCTTAAATTTTCTTTTTAAAAATTTAATACTGTATTTTTTCCCAATTACATGTAAAAACAATTTTAGCATTCTTTTGTTTCAAATTCTTTCCAATCCTCCCTCCTCTTCCCCGATTGAGAAGACAAGCAATTTGACATAGGTTATACGTGTCAAACATGTATATATCATGCAAAACACACTTCCATGTGAGTCATATTGTAAAAGAAAACACAGACAAAAAAAGACCCAAAAAGAATAAAAAAGAAAAGAAAAAATATCTTTGATCTGCATTCAGGCTCCACCAGTTCTTTCTCTGAAGACAGACAGCGCCTTTCATAAGTCCTTCAGAATTATCTTAGATGATTGTATTGCTGAGAATAGCTAAGTTATTCACAGTAGATCGTCATACAATATTGCTGTTACTTTGTACAATGTTCTCCTGGCTCTGCTCATTTCACTTTGCATCAGCTCATGTAGGTCTTTTCAGGTTTTTCTGAGAGCATCCTGCTCATCATTTCTTATAGCATACTAGTATTCCGTCAGAATCATATACAGCTTGTTCAGTCACTCCCTAATTGATAGCTATCCCCTCAATTTCCAATTCTTTCCCACCACTAAAAGAACTGCTATAAATATTTTTGTACAGACCCAGTAGTGGTATTGCTGAGTCCAAGAGTATTCATGGTTTTATAGCTCTTTGGGTATAGTTCCAAACTGCTCTCCAGAATAGTTGAATCAGTGTACAATTTCATCAACAGTACATTAGTGTTTTAATTTTCCCACATCCTCTCCAACATTTATCATTTTCCTTTTCTGCCATAACAGCCAATCTGATAGGTATGTGGTGGTACCTCAGACTTGTTTTATTTTGCATTTCTCTAATCAATAGCAATTTAGAGTACTTTTTCATTTGACTATAGATAGCTTTGATTACTTTGTCCGAAAACTGCCTGTTCATATCCTTTGACCATTTATCAATTGAGGAATGGCTTTTATTTCTATAAATTTGACTCAGTTTTCTATGTATTTGAGAAATGAGGTCTTTATCAGAGAAACTTGATGTAAAATTTTTTTTCACAGTAATGATTACCATGTATTTATCTCCATCCTATTTTCCCTGTTTATTTTACTCTCTCTCTCTCTCTCCTTTCACCCTGTCCATTCTCAAGTATTTTGCTTCTGACTTTTACCTCACCCAATCTGCCTTCTATCAGCCCCCTCCTCCTTCTCTTGTCCCCTTCCTCTCCTAC